TGCTCGATTATGTTAACCTATGTGTAAGAGGTCGAATCAAATCCCCCTGGGATTGATTTTGCCTTGATTGGGAGGGGGAGAACGCCGTGTGTATCCCGAATCAAAGATGAAAAATGGCTTATTTTTAGACTATTATAACCTTTTTGAGGTCAAGATTAAGAACTTGCCCAATGAGTATAAGTCCAGATATGGAATGTATAAAGCTTGTAATTGATTAAAAGTATCATTGCATTTGCTGGGATTTTTCTGGAATATCATCTTGAATTGAAAGCATTGGAGGATCTTTTTGACCACGGTTGGAGTCAAAGTTGCCCCCCAGTCTGTATCTGATTCTTATGATATTGATGCAGCAATGACTGATGTTAAAAAGTTGATAAGAGTGATATTTTGAGATTGGAGCAAGAGTTGCCCCCCAGTCGTGAACCACGTTCCCACAGATGACGCCAAACTATTACGTCTTGGAGTATTCACAGCAGTAGAGAAATATATAGTTTAATATCTTAACATTGTATGAAGATCTAGCACATACAGATAAATAGAGAGGGTGCGTCATTCACTATAGACACCAAGATTTTTATGTGGAAAACTCCTAAAAAGGGGGAAAACCACAGGTCTTAGCCCTATTTGAATGAATCCATCAGTATTGCAGTTGATTACAAATGAGGCCCTTTCTTGGGGAAGGCCTTAGCTTGATGTAAATATCATAATGTACATTATATGGTGAGAATATAAAGAGTCGTTGTTGACATGTTTGTTGTGATGCCCCAAGATCCTGGACGATCCTGAGAGGAAAAATCCAAATCAGAGAGGAACAGTAAGGGAACGAGGTCTCACATTTGTTTAGTCAGAAGGACCATAGTTTTGTGACGGAGGTCACAAGAGCCGTAGTTAGCGGGCTACGGAGGTCATAAAGACTGTTGTCTGGTGACGGAGGTCGGAAAGACTGTAGTCGGCGAGCGATGTAAGTTAGGAGGACCATAGTCGGCTGGCGACGGAGGTCGAAAGGACTGTAGTCGATGGGCGACGTAATTTAGAAGGACCGTAGTTGACGAGCGACGGAGGTAGGAAAAACTATAATCGGCAGGCGACGTAAGTCAGAAGAACCGTAGTCAGCTGGCGACGGAAGTCAGAAGGACTGTAGTTGGTGGGCTATGTAAGTTAGAAGGATCGTAGTCGACGGGCGATGGAGGCCGGAAGGATTGTAGTCGGTGGGCAACATAAGTCAGAAGGATCATAGTCGGCGGGCGACGGAGGTCGGAAGGATTGTTATCTGACGACGAATGTTAGAAGGACGATGTCAGGTAGAAGTCCAACAATGGAATGAAATACAACATCGGATAGATATCAAGCGAAAGACTGAAAACCAGTAGAAGTCCGGTGTCGGGTAGAAGTCTGACGTTAGTTGGTGGCCGAGGAGAACTCCAACGACGCCTGGAGTTTGCGTGAAACTCCAATGTCACTTGGAGGTTGGGCGGAATTCTGACGTCACTTGGAGGTCGGGCGGAATCCCTACATCACTTGGAGGTCGAGCAGAATTCCAGCTTTACTAGGAGGTCGGGCGGAATTCCGGCGTCCCGTGGAATTCTGACCTCTCGTGGAAGTCGGGCAGAATCCTGGTGATGGTCGAGGAGGAGTTTGTTCCCTCATACTCTTCTCTCTTCTTCTTCTTGCTTCGGTCCTTGGCTCTTCCTGCTTGGGCCCTCTCTCAAGAGAAATAAGAGGTCTATTTATAGATTTCTGGAGTGACGTGGCCTGTAAATAGGTGAGAGATTAGGGCGAATCAGGAGGGGTTTGAATTGACGGATGATATTTAATCCCTTCACCTCGGATCGTTCGTCTGACATTTGAAGATCTTAATGATGTCGGAATTCAACGTTCTTGGGCTCGTTGGTTTTTTCTCGTCGAGCCGCTCGACTCGAATATAAGCATGTCATATTTGGAAGCCATTTGGTAATCCAAATTATGGATTGAACCTTCCGAATGTGCTTTGGGCCTTTGATTCGTACCCATTTGGGCTCGGATTGAGCTTAATTTGGTGTCGTTGGGTTCGTATTCCCGAGAGATCAATTCAACTATAAGTTTGCTGAAATTGGAGTTCAAATGATCTCGGATTTAATTTTTGAAGTTTCAAGCTTGATTTTGCATCGAGATTCGTGCCCGATCAAGATGATTTTTTGATGATTTATCACTTATAAGAAAATTGTGTAAAAAAAAAGTAATTGGAATAAAATAAAAAATTTAACTTGAAAGAAGAAAATGAAATGTAATTATTATATATTTTTATAATTTTATATTTAAATTCATGAATTCTTAAATACTTTATTATAGTAATATTTTTTAAATAATTCGGCTCACGAGCTAAAGAGTCGAGTTGGATTAGCTCATATCTGACTCATTAAGTAATCCACATGTCACCTTAGTCTGTTGGTTGGGAGCTTAGACTACCAACTAAGATGTCTTGAATTTAAGCCTTATGTATGCGATATATGTATGAATTTGTCTTAATTGACCTAACTATCAAAAAAAAAAAAAAAAAAAAAAAAATAATCTATATATACTCAAATCTATTTATTCAGCCGAGTCCGAATCTGCCTCACGTGTCATATGAGGTGTCTTAAGTCTAGATAAAACTTGACTTAAGTGGGATTCTGAGACGCCTCTCGAAGGAGTTCAAATAAAATTTTTGGTTGCAGTGAGGCGGTGTGCTGCAGCAGCACCATTGGTTATTCCTAAAGATGAGCTCTTCATATCTCAAATCTGTCTGATTCATGTCTGTTGTCTTTAAACTTCAAACAAAGAATCATTTCTTCCGGGCTTTTAAAGCTCGTAACCACAAGGAGAGAATAACTTCATTTGTATTCCACTCTTTGGGATTTCTTTTTATTCTTCCCACAACTATCAATGGAGAAAATTTTTAGTGTTTTTTTTTTTTTTTAACGAAAAAGTACTGTTCTTAGGTCAGTGAAAATCCTTGTCGATCTAGCATGCAACCCATATCAATTTACACGGGCCAATACTTAAGGCTTTCACTGCTTGCAAATGGATTCGAACCAGAGATCTGAGCTTTGCCCAGCCAGCTCTTCACCACCCGGACAAGCAGCAAACGAAGCCTTAGATGGGTGGGGTAAGGGGACCCGATGGCCAAGGGACACAAACTATTTTTTATTTTATATTATTATTATTCTTTCTATATTAAAATATAATCATAATTAACAATTTTTATTCTTTCATTTATCTCTTTGATGCTCTTATTTTTACATTATTTTAAATTATGTTCCGATTTACAATCAAGATTTTATCATGAAAAATTAAATAAAAAAAAAGAATTTTTTTAAATAAATGCAATATACATAAACTTTTTTTCCTGTTTAACGATTATAAAAAATCAACTACAAATGGAATTAAAAATGAATAAATGAATGATAATTTAATCACTTATGTTGAGAAAAAAAATTAATTATATTGATAATGAAATAAATAAACTATTTTAAAATATATTACAAAATTTTCATCATCTTATAATTAACGTTTTAAATAATAATCAAAATACTTTTTTTACTATTGATCTCAAATCCTCATGAAAAAATTAAAGAAATATTTAAAAATTTTAATTTGTGACTCCACTAGAACATAAACTCGATCTATTTACAATAATTAATATTATTGATTAGAAGGCACCCTTCAAGACCAAGGTTTGTGTGTAAATATAATTGGAAATATTAAATAAATATTAACATATTTAGGGGCAAAAATACCCCATAAACACCCCCTTTAAATTCTTCTTTAAATATATATATATATATATGAAAATAGGGATATCTACGCATGAACTTTTTATTTGGTCCGGTGAACGGACGTAGAGCTACGTTCGGTCGGCACTGAGATTGTGCCACGTAGCAGGCACAAAACCGCGGACCTGACCCGGCGAATAGTGGGTATGTCGCACGTGCGTTTTTTAAATCTATGACAACCCGGTATTGCTAGGTATATGTCGATTTTGCTCGGCAATAAAAAGAAATATCATTATGTAAAGACAAATACCGAGCAATACCGAGTAATACCGAACAATACTAGAAAAACTCGGTATTGCTCGGTATTGGTCTTCACAGAGCGGTATTTTTCGTTATTGCCAAGCAATACCTAGTAATACCGAGCAATATCGAGAAAATACCGAGTAATACCTAGCTATACGCAAACATAGCATTCCCGGGTTCCGGTTCCGGTCAAGTCGTCGGGCCGCGCGGTAAAGAGTAAGAACATGTGGCGCGTTTTCAGTGGTGACCGCGCGTAGAGCTACGTCCGGTCACCGGATCTAATAATTGTTCATCTACACTTCATTCCAAAGTGAGTGCTTAACAACATAACTAATTACTCGGCAGAACCTTGCGAGGCCACCCATCAGCATCAGGCCCACACTTGCTTTGCCCCACTGAGGAGACGAAAAAATAGAGTTAAGAGTTTGGAAATGTATATGATCATTTTGTGGTGAGAATATCTTCATTCAATTTAAAAAAAAAAACGATTTATGCTTCGTTTGGGATGACTTTTTTATTACTTTTTAAAATGAAGTTTTAGTACAAAATTAAAAAAATTTATATTAAAACTCCGTTTTAAAAAGAAATAAAAAAATGGTCCCAAACGAAACCTTAATAACGTGATATGTAATTTTGATGTTGCTTCATGATATGCTATGTTATTGGTACCAAGAATTCGCTTGGAAACATCTACCTTATGTGGCCGGTGACAGTTTTATATTTATGCTGATGATCTTTATTGGCATATTTTCTGTTTTGTTTGCTGCGTTGGTGGGTCCTTAATTGGTTAGGGACGCCGCCCGTAACGCCGTAGGATTTGCTCTGCTCTGCTCTGAGTTGCTCTGTTACATAGGAATTTGCTGTTGGGAACACAACAGCGTATCAGCTATTATGCTTCCGCTCCTCCACTATATAACACGGCAAGTGGAGAGGAGAGAACGGCTTGCAACTGAAATTGACCTGAAACGCGGTATAGCAGGAGCAATGGTACACCGTCGGGCCGCCGACGGGCCTCCCGAATCGCCTCAACGGCCCATGGAAGCCACCGACAATTTACATAAGTGCAATCCGTCGCCGTCACAACTTCCACTGGTGTTCGACGCCGCGGTTATGAGCCAAAAGGCAGAAATACCTTCCCAATTCGTATGGCCTGAAGAGGAGACGCCAAAGTCGGACGCTCAGGACGAGCTCTCCCTTCCCCTTATCGACCTTGACATGTTTCTCTCAGGCCAGCCGGAGGCCGAGGCCGAGGTGGCCCGGCTTGTAGGGGAAGCCTGCGCAAAGCACGGGTTCTTCCAAGTAGTGAACCATCGCATCGACCCAACGCTAGTTGCCGATGCCCACCGATGCGTCGAAGCCTTCTTCTCGATGCCGCTAAGCGAAAAGCAGAAAACGCAGAGGAATCCCGGTGAGAGCTGCGGCTACGCGAGCAGCTTCACCGGCCGCTTCTCTTCCAAACTCCCTTGGAAGGAAACGCTCTCCTTCCGCTTCTCCCCTTCCTCTTCGTCCATCGTCCTCAACTATTTTGTCGGCAAGCTCGGAGAACAATTCCGACACTTCGGGTGAGCTGTAGCTAGCCTGCCAGATAGAGTACGTAATCCCTCCCCGCTGATTAAGCCGGGACTAATTGCTGGATGTTGGTGATTCTATGCAGGGAGGTGTACCAGAACTACTGCGAGGCCATGAACACGCTGTCGCTGAAGATAATGGAAATACTTGGAATAAGCCTCGGCGTTGGCCGCGCACACTTCAGTGACTTCTTCCAAGGCAACGATTCCATAATGAGGCTCAACTACTACCCGCCATGCCAGATGCCGGTGCTCACGCTGGGGACGGGCCCCCACTGCGACCCAACCTCATTGACTATTCTCCACCAGGACGACGTCGGTGGCCTTCAGGTCTTCGTTGACAGCAAGTGGCGCACCGTCAGCCCCAAAACCAACGCCTTTATCGTTAACATCGGCGACACCTTCATGGCAAGCCCGCATCCACCCCCACCTCTTTCCCTCGTCCCAAAATATTATATTTTTTTCGATGCATTATATAATGAAGGCTGTTCGTATAATTGTATTTCTATTTCTTTGCAGGCACTGTCAAACCAGAGGTACAAAAGCTGCCTTCACCGCGCGGTGGTGAACAGTCAAAAGCCGAGGAAGTCGCTGGCTTTCTTCCTTAGCCCAGAGATGGATAAGTTGGTGCAGCCTCCGACAGAGCTTGTTGATTCCAACAACCCGAGGATTTATCCGGACTTCACTTGGTCGGCCCTGCTTGAATTCACCCAGAAGCATTACAGAGCCGATATGAACACCATGGACGCATTCTCCAAGTGGATTCAGAAGACCATCAAGAACTAAATTTTACCTTCTATTTCTTCTTTTGTTTTATCGACTCTTTTTTGTTCATCATGTACGTCTGGTATCTAGAAGACTGATAATAATAAATTAAAAGAATTAAGTTAACAAAAGCAGAAAATCCCTCACTAATTGCGCTTGCGGTCTTCAATCTAAACAATTTAACAATGCGAAAAGGATAGGAACAAGAACGCGCGGGAGACGAGCACAGAGATCGAAGGTGATGTATCTCAAAAAAGATACGATAAGGAGGCTCTGTTAAACGACGGATTAGCAAAAGAAATTTTAACTTCCAAGGCGTTTTTAATTGAATTGGAGCGAAAATGGAAGAATGAGATGTTGACAGGTAATCGATCAGTATCCTCTCCCATCCTCTGCTTTGTCTTGTAGCTACATATCAAACTTGTCTGATCTCCTTTCCATTTTGTCACGTAGCTCCTGCTATTATGGCCTACAACCGTTGGCCAGTTCGATGGCAGAGAGTGAGGAGGAGGACTGAGTTGGTCGAAGTGGAGAATGATTCTTCCGCCAATTCTTGCTCTGTTTTCTTTTGTCGTTTTGGCCTAAACCATTATTAGGGGATAGAACATCGAGACTAATTAGTAATTAATTGAAGATATGCTTCTTTTGAGGGAATCGGGGAGAATATAAAATATATGCTGCATTTGGGTTTTTAATTTTAATTAATCTAGAAAAATATGAACAAACATGAGCAAAAAATCATCTTATCTAAATTTGCTTTTTCTTAAGGCTTTCAAAATCTCATTAGATAAAAAGATTAGCGATTCAATGGTTCAATCGGAATCGAATCATAATAAATATTTATTATATTTAAATATTATAATAATGACACAACTATTTATAAATATATAATTAAATTGAATATAATCATAATATGAAACATAAAAAAAGTATAACAAATAAATTTGATAAATTTAAAATTAAATATATAATTATTATGCAATTTTTTTCAAAAGAAATCATATTAAGAATGAAAGAGCACAACATCTTCTTCAATCTTGAGATACTACATGCTAATAAAAAATCAACTCAAAATAAATAATAAATGCAAGAATCAAATAATACGTTGTGAATGCGAGGAGAACGGAGTAGAGCGAGGGTTGAGGAGAAGAAGCGATGAACCTTCAGCAGTGGGTCGGAAAGGAGGAGTCGAGCACGCACTTCTTCAGTTCCTTCTTCCTTGTGCCTTCGCGAAACAGACGGCAAGTCAGGCGAACAAGAAGAAGCGTAGAAAGGGTTTTGGTTTTTGATTTTTTTTTTCTTTTCGTATAAGTATAAGCTTTACCATAGTTTAGGTCATCCAATTTGGTATGAACAATCAAATCATTTTTCAAGTGAGCCGCCCGGTTATTCAAACTCGATACCGGTTAAGTGATTCAGCGATGAACAGTCGGTTCAAATGGTTCGATAGTGATTTTGTGTGAAACTGGTTCATACTATTGAATCGTCTGGTCCAGTTCGGTTTTTATAGCCATGTTTTTTCTTACAAATCAAGAATAAAAATTAATTTCTAGATAAGCAAGAAAAAATATTTTTAAACATTTTTTTTCTTGATAAATGTAAGAAAAATTCATTTTAGTTCTATTCCTTTTCTAATTTCATTTACATTTACTTTTCATTTATCCTCTTACAAATCCTTCAAACAAATCAAAACCAGATAAATTTAACACTCGCAAGACGCCATATGAAGGTTTAACCGCTAAAACTTGCTAAAATATAATGGAAGATACCAAAAATTGATAAAAGAAGCACCGAATATTTCAGGCTAATGAAACATATTATTATTATTATTAGTATTATTATTATTATTTAATAAGATTTTGTTTGATAAGAATGAACGGCAAGAAATGAAATGAAAAGGAAATAATAAAAAAAATTGAATTGAAACTAACTTTGTCTCACTTTTCGTTTGAGGAGAAAAGTAGTGATTTGTTTAATTTGTTTGATCTAAAGTGAGTTTTATTTCTTCAAATGAGGGGATATATGGGCCACGGTGATGTTCAAAATTTTTTTTTTACACTTGTTAGTAGATAGGAGCTTTATCAATAAAAGTTATACATTTTTCATATTTTTTGAATAAATTTTAATTGCCTATTAATTATATTAGTATTGTTGTGTCCTAGAATGTTCGCGGCGGTAGAGAAATATAAATTTAGCATCTTAGCTGCATATGAAGATCCAGCACACAATCAGATAAAAGAGATGGTGAAGAGTTCATAAGAGACACCAAGATTTTTATATAGAAAATCCTGAAAATGGGAAAAACTACGGGGCTTGGCCCAGTTTGAATAAATCCACTAGCATTTGCTATAGATTTCAAATGAGGCCCTTCCTTGGGACAAGATCTTGGCTTAATGTAATAAATATACATCATATAGAGTGCATTGCATGATATGAATTGAAAGAATCAATATTAACTTGTTAGGTCGGCAGGACCATAGTCGGCGGGCAACGAAGGTCGGAAAGACTGTAGTCTGGTAACAGTGGTCAGAGGGACCGTAGTCGGAAGGTGACAGGGGTCACAAAGATCGTAATATGGTGACGAAGGTCAGAAGGACAATAGTCGTCAAGCAATAGTAGTCAAAAAGATCATTTTCTAGCAATGGAGGTTGGAAGGATCGTAGTTGGCGGGTAATAGAGGTCGGAAGTCCAGTGATGGATAGAAGTACAGAGTCGAGAAGAAGTTCGATGATGGACAAAGATCTGTCAATGGATGGAAGTTCGACGTAGGACAGAATTCTGATAGAAGTTCGAGGAGGGATGGAAGTCCTACGACGAGCGGAAGTTTGACGATGGATGGAAGCCTGGTGTCGGGAATAAGTCCAACGAATGTTCAGCAAAAGACAGAAGTCCGATTTCATGTAAAAGTCTGACGAAAGTTCGATGACGGACAGAAATCCAGCGATAAGCGGAAGTCCGACGATGGATAGAAGTTCAACATCGAGCAGAAATATGAAGAATGTATGGAGATAGGTAAAAGTTCGATAATGGATAGAAGTCCGGCGACGGGCAGAAGTCTGGCGACAGGCAAAATTCTAGTTTCGGGTAGAAGTCTAACGAAAGTCCAACGAAATAGCAGAAGTTTGACGATGTGCATAAGTTTAGTGTCGAGAGGATGTCCAACGACGGACGAAAGTATGGCAATAAAAGAAAGTCTTGCGTCGGTTAGAAGTCCGACGAAAGTCCAGCGACTGGCAGAAGTCCAATAATAGATGGAAGTCCGGTGACTGTTAGAAGTTCGACGAAAGTCTAGTGTCAGGTAGAATTCTAGTGACGGGAAGAAAGTCCTGTGATGGAAAGAAGTTCGGCGTCAAGCAGAAGTCTAATGACTGGTCAAAGTCTGGCGATTGACAGAAGTTTGACGCCGTGCAGATGTTCGATGAAGTTCCAACAACAGGCGAGTGTCCAGCGTAGAGTAGAAATCTGTCGAAAGACCGACGATGGGCAGAATTCTAGTGACGATGGAAGTCTGGCTATGGACGGAAGTCTAGATTCTGTCGGTGGTTGGGCTGAAGTCCAACGAAACTTTGATGACAGCCAATGGCCGAGAGGTGGTCGAGGAGGAGCTTGGTGACGAGATTTCTCTTCCTCTCCTCTCTTATTTCCCTCCTTGCTTCCTTGCTTGACCCCCTTTCAATGAGGAATGAGAGGTCTATTTATAGTTTTTGAGAGCGGCATTGCCTATAAATGAGAGGGAGATCAAGGATATGTTAGGAGTGGTTTAAATGGACGGCTGATGTTAGTCCTCTTGATCATAAACCGTTTACTATAAATTTGAATGTCTTAATGATTTCAAAATTTGATGATCTTTAGCTCGTTGGATTTGTCTCATAGGGCCACTCGATTCCACTACATAAATATGTAACTTTTTAAAAACCGTTTGGTCATCCAATTTATAGTTTGAACCTTCCAAATGTACTTCGGGTCTTTGATTTGGACCTATTTGAGCTCGGATTGAGTCACATTACGTGTTGTTAGGTTCATCTTTTTGAGATATTCAGTTTGACTATAGGTTTGCTGAATTCGGAGTTCTTATCATTCTGAATTTAATTTTGGAAATTTTCAACTTTATTTTACCTCAAGATTCATTCCCAATCAAGATAAATTTTTGATGATATATCAAGTATCATAGATCCAAAATAAACTTGTAAATTATATATTAGAATATATCATTAAACTTTTACTCATAAATTCAATATCACATCTCTTAAAAAAAACGATTAAACTTTTGTTAATTTATATTTAATTTTTGGGTTATTTGATATCAATTTTAAGTTATGAAAAAGTGCTTTGGTGTCCACTCAAAGTCAAAATTATTTTAAGCTATGCAATTTGACATGAAGTGATTTGGATTTCGTTTTGAGTCCAATTTGAGCTACAATTGAATTTTTTTTTTTAATTTCAAATTAGACCTAACTTGGTCATTCTTGTTTCGACATCATCCCTTTTTTTTTCTTCCAATGAAAAAGAAAAGCTTTTTTTTTTAAAAACAAAAAATTTTATTAAGTAAAAACTGATGGAGTACAAAGTCATCAAACCAACATCATGGGAAACAAATAGTAGAGACCCAAAACAAACAATCAGAGTAAAATAATCAACGATAGGGGACTCAGTAATGGAGGCCCCCAGCACCAGTCTAGCAGCCTTGCATGGACCATCCATAAGTGACAATAAATGATCAAAATCCATCCAACGCCGAGGCACCCAGGTTGTCAACCAGCTCAACCATGAAGGGGTAGCAGGGGCCTCCTCATCATCATCCATTAAACCGCAAAAAACCAATGACAAAATCGCACGAGCCAAAACATATACCCTATATCTTTTTGCCTTTCCTCCTTTGCTTATTACCATTCAAAATTGAAACACCATGAATAACAGGACGGTCCTGCTCGACATCATGAAAGTCAGTATCATCCTCACTAGAAGGGGAAGAGAGTGAGTCCTCTAGAATCAACCAATCATTCTGAACCAAAAAAAAGTTTTTCGTAGAGTTTCCACATGCTTTTTCAACTCACTATTAGACATGATCGAAATAGGAATATTGACAAAGTTAACATTGCCCACACACCCTTCAGAAAAACATAAAACCGATTGATCATCTAACAAAGCGGGCGCCTCAGCCATAGCTAACTTAATCGAAGAGGAGACAACATCCTGAATAATGGGGCTCATAGGGGACGAGGCAGCACAACCAGAAAAATCACTAATAGGAGAAACAGAAGAGCCAGCAGCTCAGCGACCGCAGTAGGCATCTCAACCACATGAAAACCGCACAGAGCAGGCGCAAAATTCGCACAAGACAAAATAGGGGTATGATTGAATTAACCTCACAATTCAAAGCACCACCAGCACTAACACAAAGCCTAGGGGTCTGGGCTACAGACTCAACCCCAACCACAAAGTCCACCATATGAACAATAGGGGAGTCACAAATAGTATGAGCAGACAAAGGGACAACAGGAGAGAGTTCAGGGCTAGATGCAGGTTCAATAATAGCCATACATTGAATACCTTCAATCACATGTGAAGGGGAACCAACTACTGGGCCATCACCTTC